TGGCCTGTTTTGGATTCCTTCTAGAATGTTGTGAGGTGGAGCTTCAGACTTGTCCTTGGGAGCCTGGATGCGGGTCTGAGTAGGGCCTGGCTGAACATGGGAGCAGAGCTGGGGGAACAGAGAAATGCAAACTGAAAAGAGCTTAGTCCACTTCCCTGTTGGCCCTGTCCTTACCTCTTGTCTGTCTGTAAAATGGGATAGAGAGACTCTCTTTCTTTGCTCCCCAGAGGTTGTGGAAGCCGAGAACTCTTGGGGGTTACATGCTTGAGTGGCTTCTTGCAGACCCAGGGTAAAGGAGTGAGGACTCCCCATGGGATGGCAGCCCCCAGGAACTGGGCCAGAAAGGAGGGGGCTGGAAGGAAGGTGTGGCAGCCCTGTCCTGCAAGGCTTTTCTGTTTGGTCATGCGGACACCTGTTGGCAGGTGACTTGGCCTCCAAGGGGTCTGGCTGGCTGGCTGAGCAAGGATTTGCTGACCACACGGGGATGGAGTCTCTTTGCTCCAAATTCTGAGCCCCAGGGTTTAGAGGATCTGCTCCTCTATCTTGGTAGATCCTGCCAGCCCCCAGGAAAAGAGGGAGGCAGAGCTGGTGGCATCCTCTTCTGCATTTTGGGAAACCGAGGCATTGAGTAAGCACATTGCTGCTAGAAGCACACCCGGCCCATGGTGCTTGGGAGTGCTTGCTCTCTGGCAGGGAGTATGGAGGAGGATTGCCCACGCTGCCCCAGTCCTTTTCTGCTGAGTTGAAGTGAATGCTGAGGCAGATCCTGAGGCTGGTAGGCTCGAGCTGAGAGTGGACTTCCTGACACCTGGATGCTGGGCTTGCGGTCAGCACCTGGCATCTCGTATGCCCTAGCCTGGCACTCAGAGCCACTGGGAACACAGGACAGAATCCCCACTCTGCAGGGAATAAGAATGAGCCATGCCAGGTATGACATAATGAGGTGCACTTCAGACTAGCTTCCTGCAGGAGGTGGTGCTTTTAGAGAGTCCTAAACTCCTAGGTGGCTTTGGCCAACAGAGGAGGGGATGGCATTCCTGAGGTGGAGTGGGACCCCAAGCCTGGAGAAGTGGGTCGAAGCCAGGTTGGGGAAGGCCTTGACTGTCGAGCTGCTGAGTTTGGACGTGATTCACTGGGCCCCAGGGGAGTCATCGAAGGTTACAGGCCAGGGGTACAATGACTTGATCAGAGCAGTGATCTATAAAAGTGCTTCTCCAACTCTGACATACACGTGCATCACCGGGGTAGCTTGTTAAAATGCAGGTTCTAATTCAACAGGTCTAGGGTGGGGCCTGAGACCCTGCATTTCTACCAGGCTCCTGGGTGGTACAGTGCTGCTGGTCCATGGGGCATCTTTGTGTGGCGAGGGTTGAGATTGGGGACTCAGGGGCCAGGAAGGTGCAGGGACAGGCACAGGTTGGGTGGGACCTGGAACAGGTAAAGGGGACTATCCCAGCTCCTGTGGACTGTTTTGGGGGAGGTGTGAGAGCTGAGATGGGGGCAGGGCAGAGGCGAGTGTAGAGAGGGTGCGGGATGCAGGGGGCCACTGTGCTGTGAGGTGGGGCGGAGTGGGGAGCCTCTCAGGGCTTAGGTCTCAGGCAGGGAACACAGGCCTGATTTCTAGGGTGTCTGACTGTGAGGAACTCCCAAGACCACAAGGGGGTGTCTTAGGCGACTGTCCCAGGGCAGAGTGACATGCAGGCAGCATGTACGGCATCTTATCTTTGCCCACAGCTGAGCCCGGCCCTATGGGTAGCCAATCTGGAGTGAGCACTCTTCCTCCAGCCAGGGTGGGGCCCAGGAGATTGGGGAAACAGCTGACTCCAGCCCCAGACATGCCATCTTCTCCTAAAGCCCCCGAAGTCTCCCCAGCTGCTGAGCCACTACCCCTGGCGTGTGCAGTGTCCCTTGCCTGGGCCTCGTAGCTGCCGCTGATGGTTACGTGAGCCGTGGGTGGGGTGGGCTACCTCCCCCGTGCACCTGGAAGTGGGAAGGCCTGGATGCTTCTCTCTGCTCTGCCCCTGGCTGGGCCACTACAGGCAAGTGTCTGCTCCCCTCTGAGGCCTCAGTTTCCTGTAAATTGAAGGATTCAGTCCTCTCCCTCCGGAGACGGGGGAGGGTCACAGGTTTGTTAGGTGGGGCACTGCATCTTCCCAGAATGGCATTTAATACATTTTAATTTTGGTAATATTAAACCTTGCATGCTAATGATGGAGTAGAGTGAGCAGTTCGCACGGAAGCACTGTCCAGCTTGCTTTGGGGATCTCCCAAGGCCCCTTACGCTTTGGGCTCTGCATGGCCAGGAGGGTGGTATCTGAGGGCACTGGTCAGAGGAGGCCCCTTCAGATGCTGGCAGGAGGGTGGGCAGTGACCTCACCCAAAGGAAGGTGGGAAGGGCCGACACTGAGGGCAAAGATTCAGTGACTCTGGGCAGTGCCAAGAGGGCTCTCAGGCTGAGCTCCCCAAATGTCCCACATACCTCCTAATAGGACCGCAGGGCCAAGCCAGTCACTCCCCACTTTGATTCCTGCTCGTGTGCCCCCTGCTGTGTTAGGCTGTCCTGAGGAGGTGGGAGGGGGTGGCATTTCTCAAAGACTGTTCTGAGAAACCTCAAGGGTTCAGGGGACAAGTAAGGGCAGAAACTGGCAAATTTAGTCCCCTACCCTGTGGGAGATTCAGTGTGCTAAGAGAATTAAAAGCTCTGACAAGTCCTGCAGAAAAGAAACCATTTGGTGTTTCCCAAACTGATTTCACCATAGAAATCTTTTTTTGAAGACTTCCTAATAATATCCCACTGACCAGGAAAACACCTGGTGGGAAAGGGCTGATGCAGAAGGATGCTGCTCCATGAAAGACCACAAACACGGGTGATGGGTGGTCCTAGAGTGCCAGGGAGGGAAGGATGGACGGTAGCTTCCTGGAGCACATGGACTTCATTGGATGGGTACTATTTGGACCATCAGTGGAAGAAAAGGGCACTGTAGAGGGAGAGGCGGCCTGGAGGGGCCTGGGGCCCAGAGCCAGCCCTGGGTTCTCATGACAGCAGCCCTGCTTCACTGGGTGGGTGAAGAAGGGATCTGGGAGGACCCCTCTGGTGCTTAGGACCTGACAGTAGCCAGGCCTGTGTCTCTGGGATTCTGGGAGGGCCTCCCACCCCACTGCTCCTGCCACCTTCTTGCTCTGCAAGTTCTCTCCCACCTTTCATCTCAGAGAGGGGGGTTGTGACCTCCGGGCAAGAAGCTAAGCCTCTCTGTGCCTCAGTTTGCTCATTTGTACTATGGGGATAACATTACTGCCCTTGTAGGCTCATTGTGGTGTCGAATACCTGTTGGCTGCTCTCAGTGTGACTGACATGGCTGTAGACATGGCTCTAGGAGGGACCCAGGGAAGGAGACCGCAGTCAGGGAGATGGGAGGCACAAAGGCCAGCAGAGAGCTTGGTGAGGCGTGGAGTGGGGTCCTGATCAGAGCACGGAGTGGTCTTCTGTAGAGGAGGAGAAAGAGTGAGGGCCGGGCGGTCAGGACTGGCTCCCTGGAAGAGTGGCTGGCAGGGTGGGGAGATCTGGGCAGAATGAGGAGACTTCACAGGCCACTCTGGGCCCTGAGGGCTCAGTCTGGGTGTGGGAGTCAGGATCCGGTGGGTGGGTGTGGGAGACAGGGTGGCTGAGGGCAGGGCTGGGGTATCAGGGACCTGCCTTCACTCATTAGGCCGTGGGGAGCGGGGCAGTGGTTGATCAGAGCTGTATTCTAGTGAGAAGTGTGGCGGGGGTGTGCAGTGCTGGTGGTTGGGGTACAGGCCCCCGCCCTCCTCCTTTGGGCTTTCTTGCAGAAGAGCTGTGCCCCTTCAAGCTCAATGCACGGGGAAGGGTCTGCTTGCTTTTATGACCCTGATCCTCGCATTCGCAGAGCTCTGAGTCATTTTCCCAAAAGGTTAGGAATTGCATCCTGTTGCCTTCCTGGAAGGGGTGTTGCAAGTGCGGGGGTTGGGGGAGAAGGGGGAGGGCTCCAGGGCCCCTCCCCCTCGGCTGGGGGGGACAGTCAGGGAGGCCACCCTGCCTTGCCTCTTGCCTCACCTCATTTCCTCTGAGGTGTGAGGCGTCTTTGTTCAGCAGCTTAGGTGGGGGCCCTGGGGTGTGGCATCTCAAACAGCCGGCCAGGAGAGGTTGCTGTCATGGGGCAGGGTCAGGCTGCTGTGGTGACGAGGCCAGAGTGCGAGAGGCCCTGGCAGAGGATGCTCCGTGAGCTGCTTACCCAGCCAGCCACACTCTCTTGTCCTCCTGTGCCCACCTCTTTCTTCCTCAGACAGGCGGGAGCTGGGGGCTTTTCCTGTTCTCCCTAAATCAGGGGCCGGGAGGGCGGAGGACGACGAAAAGCATTTGGGTTCAGCGGGAGCATGGTGGCCGAATCCTTGCCCCCTGTAGTCCAGATTCCTTTATCCTCTGGCTGCTTCTTGGGGGAGGGTGTCAGGGAAGGTGTGATTTAAGACCAGAAGGAGCAGCACTTGGAAATGAGTTGTATTTTATTAGAAAACAGAGCAAAGAACCTAGCCACCCTCTGCCAACTTTGTGCCAGGCCCCGGCAGACCCATAGTTCCTGTCCTCCCCACACGGCCCCACGAGGCACGAGCTATTACCACATTTCACAGATGGAGACGTGGGCAGTGCCAGCAGATGGCGTGACTGGGTCCCCAACCGAGGTTCTGGGACATTTGGTCCAATGCCCTTTCCTCACCTCACCTCGCCTCACCCTCAGAGCCTGTTCCTGTGTTCTGTCTCCCCATCCACAGCCAGACTTGCCCTCCGGCCAGCCCAGCCCCGATTCCCAAACTCCTGACCCGGGGAGGACAGGCTGCTGGGCCCTCCTTGTGGACTGGCAAAAAACTAGACCTTGAGTCAGCTAGATTTTAAGATGACTCAAGCAGAGACACTCAGGACCACCGGTGGGCTAACATTCTTAGGAGAGATTTTTAAATGAGGCCTTTAAATGTTAAATACACAGATCTCTTTTACTCTCCTTTATTTTGGAAAATTAAAAAGTCATACACAATTAATGCAAAACTTTTGAGTTAATCTGAAAAAGTAACTCAAGAAAAGATGATGAGCTTGACTCATTCCTTGGTTTTAAAGATGAGTAAAGCTTGAGCCTTAGTATCTTACTAAATGAATTTTGGAGCGTCTTATGTCACATGGCAGGTTGTGGAACCTCTCTGACCCTCGGTTTCCTCCTCTGTGGAATGGGGATATTGACGTGAGGATTAACTGCTTTATTCCACCTGGAATGCTTAGCATGCATGTCAGACATGCTCAGTGAAAACTAGTGATGATGATGATGATGATGGAATTCTAAGACCAGACATTTCTTGATTTCGAAAGTTGGCATGTTATTGTCTCTCTTTGAACTCAACCAAAGGACTTGAAGGATATGTTTGTTGTCCAAGCTCAGCGTCTTAACTCCGTAGGTGTTTTATGGGTCAAATCATGGGCCCAGGGCCCACGTGCCCATTTTGAAATGAACACCATTGGCTTTTCAGACCTGGTTCCAGCTCTTGCTGGGGCGGGAGGTGGTGGGGTTCCTTCTTCAGGGTTGAACTTTATGGAGAGTCCTTTATGGGCGAGTGTGTGTTAGGACTTGTTAGAGGAGCACAGCTGAACCTCTCTGAAGTTACCAGGAGGAGAAAATCTTGGGCCAGTGAGACTGTCCAGAGGGAAGTATGAGTTAATTGCTTTTTGAATTTTCTTTTGTGCTGGAAAAGCGATTAGACCATTATCTGCATCCCTTTTCTGGAGGATGAAGCCAAGGGCCAAGAGCTGTGGCCTGGCGTAGTGGAGTGCCTGGCAAGCCTTAAGCCAGCCTCCATGGGGCAGGGACACTAGGGTGGCCTGCAGCCCACTCCACTCCGCTCCCACCTGCCTCCTGATGGCAGCCCCAGGTTTTGGTGGCATGGCTGGGTGAGCCACCAGGCTTGGGGACGCCTCTCGCCAGCCCCGAGTGCCTGGCACAGTGTGTGGGGAGGGGTGAGGCAGAAGTGCCAGGCTGAGGGCAGTCCTCAGGGCTGCCGCCCCGGGAGGTGAGTGGGGGCCTGAGAACCGAACAAGCATTGGGCACAAGGACATGAGCTCAGTGTTTCAAGCCTGGCTCTGCCCTTCACTCTGTCTGGTGGCCTCCGTCACATCTGCAGACCTCTCTAAGCCTGCCGCCTCATCTGTAAAATGGGCACCGGGGAGTTTGAGAGTATTAAATGATGTGACGAATGGAAAGGGCCCAGCACGGGCCCTGGCACACCAAGGGCTCAGTAGGTAGCTGTTTGCTCTGTGGCTTATCTGTGGCTGGATGTGGGGGAGATGTTTTCCTTTCCTATTTTGGGATCATGCATGCCACCTACCTCTGTGATGAACTATGCTGAGCAGGGGCCGTAGGAGAGGCAGCTTTGCTGGAAAAGAGTTTACAATGGAGGGGGAGCCCCTCCCCACAAACACAGCCTGGGCCCAGTGAGCCTTGGACAGCTCAGCTCTGCTGTTGGGGTGGCGGCATCTCTGTGGGCAGGGAGCACAGGGCCTGGGCTCAGCAGAGTGGGGACCCTGTGGCTTGGAGAAAGGATGGGCCTGCATCCTCTCAGAGTCCCCCTCCTGGGGGCTGGAGCCGAAGCACAGATGGGCTTTGTGCAGAGTCACGCGGGGCCGGCAAGGGGGAACTGCGCCCGGGCCGCACTCGTCTCACCAGTCTGTCTCAGAGCTTGTCAGTGGTTTTGAAAGAGTCAGTGGAAAGTGCTGACTGGGCTGTCCTCCTTCACCCTAGAACTGTGAGGCTGCGGCTCCTGGCAGGGAGAGAGGAGAAGTCCCACGGGGAAGCCACCTCCTTATCTGCCAGCTCCCATCTCCTGGGCTTCCAAGGCCCCATCTGCAGGATGGGTGGGTCTCTGAGCGGGGACACTGACCCAGGTCAGGGGCTGGCAGGGCCATGCCTGCAGGTGATGCAGATGAAGTGGGGCTGGGAGAGGGGCCCTGGGCCCTGTGTTCGGGGGTGCACTTGGCCCTGCAGTGGGAGGCAGCCTGGAGAAGCGTTCCAACTCTGGAGACAGCCCTGAGGAGAGAGCTCGGCTCCGGCGTCAGACTGCTTGGGCTCTCCTCCCACCTGCAGGTCCTGCACCCAGTTGTATGGGCTCCATTTCTCGTCTTTCCTGCCTCACGGGCTTGTTGTGAAGGGGAAGAGGGATGACCAGTTGACACAGAATTTGTCAGGCTTTGTCTTGGTGATGTCATAACTGCTCACCCAAGTCATCCTGACCCCGCCCTGGCACTCACCCCCACATCCTGTCATTCAGCAAGTCCCCAGGAGGTCACCCTCTGATCCCCTCCTGCCTGTCACTTCCTCTGCTTCAGTGTCACCTCGGCAGAGGCTTCCCTGACCTCCCGCCACAGAGCAGCTGCCTCTCCCCTCCCCCTGCCTTTCTTTGTGGCCCCCGTCAGCCCTGAGTGTTCGACCCTCGGCGCGGGGGGGCTTCTGGCTGTTGCTGTGCCCCGAGTGCCCAGCACAGAGTAGTACTCACTCAACTTTTGTTGTTGGTGTTTTTACTGTAAATATGTATAACATAAAATTTATCATTTTAACTGTCTTCAAGTATTCAGTTCAGTGGCATTAAGGACATTTACCTTGTTGTGTACTGTCACCCCCATCAAGATGCTGAACTTTTTTTCATCCTCCCAAACTGAAACTCTGTTCCCATTAAACACCAACTCCCCATTCTCCCCTCCCCCAGCCCCTGGCAGCCGCCATCTACTTTCTGTTCTATGCATTTGACTACTCGAGGTGCCTCATATACATGGAATCAAACAGTATGTGTCCTTTGTGACTGGCTGACTTCACTCAGCATAATGTTGTCAAGGTTCCTCCATGTTTTGCATGTGTCAGAATTTCCTTCATTTTTAAAGGCTGAATAATATTCCATTGTATGCGTATACCACATTTTGTTTATGCCTCTGTGGACAGACACTTGAGTGGCTTCTACCCTTTGGCCGTTGTGAATAATCTGTCTGTGAACGTGGGTGTGCAAATATCTCTTTGAGATCCTGCTTTCAGTTATTTCAGGTGTGTACCCAGAAGTGAAATTGTGAGGTCATGGGTAATTTTATATTTAATTCTTTGAGGAACTGCCATGCTGTTTTCCACAGTGGCTGCACTATTTTACATTTCCACCAATGGTGCGCAAAGGTTCCAGTTTCTCTGCATCCTCACCAATGCTCGTTATTTATTTATTTTTGATAGTGGCCATCCTACTGGCTGTGAGGACTAAGCAGTTTTGAATGAGTGAAAAATCTGTTCCCTGCTCCCTCTCGCCCTCATTTTACCCCCTCCTCTTGGGCCCCATTTTCTCTCATACCTTCTCTCCCCACTGGCCACACCCCAGGCCTGGAACATGCCCCCCATGCTTTAAGACATCTCCCCACCCCAGGATATCCTGTGCCCACCCAGCTTCTCCCTGCTCTTCACCCTGCACAGTACGCTGGGTCTGCAATGCCTGTACCATTTGTTGAGTGACTGTGACTGTCCTCCCCACCCCATCCCCTTTCTCTGGAGGGTTGGGACCCTGCCTCTGGGGTTTGTGCCCTCTGGGGAGCTGAGGCCATCCTGCCCTTTCTCCTGGGCTCCCCCTGGGGGCGAGCTTGTGCGTGTGGCTGACTGGCTTGGGGAAGCTCAAGGAAGGCCCTCCCTGCCGGCAGGTCAGGTGAGTGTGGCCACATGGAGCCTGGGTTCGGAGGGTGAGTCCTGGGAAGGAAATTCGGTGTTGAGAGCCCATGGTGTGAGCAGTGCCTCTGAGCTTTTGCACGTGCGGTTCCCCCTGCCTGGGGCTCGCTCCTGCTGTCTCTCCTGCAGTCTTCTCTGACCCTGTTCCCTGCCCCTGTTAGAAGCCTCTCACCGTCCCCTCCTGCATTCACCATCACAACCCTTAGCACCGCCCTGTGTACCTGTGAGTTAACTGGCTGTGGCCCTGTCTGTTGAACCAATCGCTGTGGCTAATGCAGTGCCAGGCAGGGCTGTGTCTTAAGGGAGACAAAACTTACAGATCTTTATAAAGACTTCTGAGTGGGAGCCTAGGACCCATTAGAGAGCAGAGCAGGTGTGATGGCAATTCCCATTTTACAGATGAGGAAACAGAGTCTTCCTCGAGATCACTGAGAGCCAGACCCCATCCTCACGCTGGGTCCTCTCAAAGGGAGCGGTCCCCATGGGCAGAGGTTGGCGTTGTCTGCCTTGGGATGGGATGCAGAGCGCTTTGGGAGCTGGGCAGCAGCAGGGGAGGGGAGGAGAAAGGGAGATGCTCAGCTTGAGCTGGGGGTGGGGGCTGGACCCTGGGTACTGCCTGGCCTTGCAGCTCTCTCTGCCTCCTCCTCTCCTCACAGGCAGGCCCCAGACGTTCTGGGCTGGCCTGGAATCTGCATTTGGAGCCTGCTCCAGAGCAGCGATTCTCAACCTTGACTGTACATTAGCATCATGTAGCGTCCTTAAAATAGATTCATGCTGAGACCCCACCCCAAAGCGTCCGACTTAGATGACCTATGTGGGAGCTGGGGGTTGGTCTTTGATAAAAATCTCCAGGTGGGTGTGTGCAATGGCTGGGCAGGAGTTCCCGTCTCCTGGGGCTGACAAGCTGCAGCGTCTGGCCAGGCTCTGTGCTCACTGCACCCTGGCCCTGGATTTCAGGGAAGAGGGAGCTGGGACCCTAAGTAGAATGGGGTCTTTACCTGGGGGTCTCTACCCTGGGGGGGGGGGGTCTCTGGGGACAGAGAATTGCTGACTGTATTAGTTACCTATTGCTGTGTAACAAACCTGCCCACAACTTGTGGCTTAAAGCGGCAGTAAACATTTATTATCCTCACAGTTTCTGTGGGTCAGGAATTTGGGAGCCATTGAGTGTTTCTGGCTGAAGGTCTCTTGGGAGGTGGCAGTCAGAATGTTGGCTGGGGATGCAGTCATCGGAAGGCTTGACTGGGGCTGGACTGTTTGCTTCCAGCAGGGTGCACTCACATGCTGGGCGAGATGGTTTGGCTGTTGGTAGGACTCAGTTCCCTGTCTCTTGGGCCTCTCCATAGGGTTGCTTGAGTGTCCTCATGACGTGGTGACTGGCTTCCCTTGGAGTAAGCAGTCCAGGAGAGCAAGGCGGAAGCCACAATGTGCTTTATGACCTAGTTTCAGAAGTCACACTCCACGTTTCTACACTGTGCTATTGATTATATGGGTCAGCCTGGGAGGGGCCTCTGCCCGGTGTTAGTACAAGGAGGTGAGGATCACTGAGGGCCAGCTTGGAGAGATGGTCCTGTCATTGTACTTACAGCCTCATAGACCTTGCCTGGTAGGTCTAAGTGCCCCCAGTAAGTGGGGTGGCCCTTCTCTCCTAATCCTCTATTCCTTTCCTGTCGTCAGACCACAGCGGTGTCACTGTGGGATGGAGTGTTCTCTCTGAGGCCTGGAGGTCTTGCTCTGGAGCCATCATGCAGGAGGGTCTATGACCTCTCTACTGGCTGTGGCTACCCCACCCACATCTGGTGTGCCAGCCCTTCCTGTGGTGACCCCCACTAGCATGCAGACTTGGGCCTGTAGGAAAATAAATTTAAGAACCATTGCTGCTACATGCCTGGCTCTGGGCTAAGCAGTTGTATTGTCTCACTCAACCCTGTGAGGCAAGTCCTCTTTCTCACCATTCTACTGATGAGGCTCAGGTCACTCATTGAATATGTGGTAGAGGTTTAAACCATTGGTATTTAAAAATAAGTGATCTGACTTCAGGGCATATATGAAAACTATGGTGCTATAAGGTGTCCCCAAAGGAGGGGACTATTTATCAAGTTGGGTCATCAAGTGAAACTCAAGTAAGTATGTTTTTGTGATTGTGTTTGTGTGTATGAGAGAGGTGTCTCTTCCTGGGATTTCCCCAGGGCCATGGTGACTTGGGTGCCTCAGCACAGGGCTGGAACCTTGGTCTTGAGGCTGTTTTTTTGTCCAGATTCAGCCCTTTTAGGAAAACTTTCTCCCAGTGGAGTGAGTGACGGTGAGCACCATTTCCCATCAGCCCTCCTCTTCCCACGGCCTGGTCTGCTGACGCCAAGGGCTGTCTTGCACCAACGTAGTTGCCAGTAGATCAGTTCTGTGGTTTGAACACAGAGGTGTAAGAGACTCACCGACTTCTGTGGTTGATGAGTTCCTGGAAGGAGATTCAGAGTTGGTGTATCAGGTGTTGCTAAGAGAGAGGAAATCCAGGCCCTGGGGTCTCATCTGAGAGCTGCTGAAGTGAAACCTGTGCCTTTAGGACTTTGCTTGGGACACAAGAAGCTGGCTAATAGGGTCTGGGGTCAGGGCCAGCCTCACTCAAGAGTAGAGGTGATCACTCTCACTTTACAGATGGGGAAGCTGAGGCTCAAGTGCTAAGGGACTCTTCCAAGGCCATACACGTTAGGGGCAGAGGCTGCTGTCTGGGCAATTTCATCTTTTCCAGGAGCATCCAGGAGCAGCATAGTCACCACAGCAGGCTCCTGACCTCTCTCTGAGCTGAAGGGCCATGGGGTTTGCCTGCCTCTGGAAGATCTGGGATCTGAGAGGGAGAATGCGGGCCGTGTGTGTGGAGAGGTGACTGCCTACCTGGCCAGACAGGACATCTGCACACAGACACACGCAAAGATGGAAAACCAGGCATGGGGGTTGAGGAGCTGGAGTTGGAGATGGAAGCTAGTAGTGGGGGTGGCCCAGGTTTTGAAAGGTTCATAGGAGATGTTTAGAAGCAATCATGACCGTCACCTGATGTGACCTATTGTCAGAGTGGGATCCACTCACTCAATTAATTAATTTTGGTAAGGAAGAGCCGCTCTGAGCTAACATTTGTTGCCAGTCTTCTTCTTTTTTTGCTTGAGGAAGCTTAGCCCTGTGCTAACTTCTGTGCCAATCTTCCTCTGCTATGTATGTGGGATGCTGCCACAGCATGGCTGATGAGTGGAGTAGGTCCACGCCCGGGATCGAACCTGCAAACGTGGGCTGCCAAGGCGGAGCACACGGAACTTTAACCACTCAGCTACGGGGCCAGTCCCCACTCACTTACCTTTGCTGAAGGTGGGCTCTCCAGGGTGGAGTTTGGGGTATAGCTGTCTGGGTGTGGGCGTGGGGGCAGCAGTGCAGTCCTAGGCTCTGCCCTGGCCCCCCTCCACTGCTGTTTCTCCCTCCAGCTGCACAGTCATCAAGGCTGCCAGCTGAGCTTTAGGCCCGTCAGAAAGACCCCAGCCTTTCTCAGGCTTCTTTCCATGCTTTCTTCCCCTTCTCCACCACCAGCTAGGCTGCTAGCCTGGAGCTGGGGCCTCTAGTCTCCAGGGTCTGTCCCAGCAGGCAGCGATAAGTCGGGGTCCTAGAACAATCTACCTGTGTCTATCCCATCTTGCAGAGCATCAAGGGAAGTAGAGGCCCGCCCAGAGAGTTCCAGGAATGCCTCCCCCACCTGCCTACCAGTGCTGGTGTGGGCCCTGCTTTGTCCCCCATACACTAAGTCCAGGGCTGCCTCTCCCTGCAGTGCAACCTCCCTGCTTCTCTTCTGAAAAGGCTTACAAAGCCTTTTCAAGTTGGGCTTTTAGGGACTTTATGCATCTGGATGCAGGGAAGAGACGTGGGTAACAAAGACATGGTGCTCAGAGAGAAGTCTAGGTGCCGGGATGGAAGATGGAGCCCCCAGAGGCCCTTCCCCACGTTGGCCTGTGAGGTGGGAGGGCTCTGAGGAATGAGGGACCCTCACCTTTCCCCTTTTATGAGCTTGGGGTTGGCTAATGGCCGCCATCTCTGATACCTGCCCCTTACCCCCAAAACTGGGTATGATGGGCAGGCTGAGGCAGGGAGGGGGGTCAGTCGAACACAGCCTACAGGGCAGTCTGATTGATGTCGGGGTTGTGGTCCAGTCTGAGATTGGGTGGGACCAAGGCTGAGGCTGAGATTGGAGCTCAGATGAAGATTGGGATTCTTCCACAAGTGAAATGGTCTGGGCACTGGCAGAGGTGGCTCCCACCTCTGTGCTAGTCTCTTTGGGGATCCTCCTCTCTCCCTCCTGGTCTAAGGTGGCCCTAGCAGGTGGCCACACATTTACC